GACGACGTAGCCACTGGGAGATCCATTAGGCATCTTGGTATGGTTGTAGGACGCGTGCATTATCTTGGGAACTGCATTAGAGTTTGTTTCATTGGGCTACTCGCAAGCTGAAGCTGTCAAAATCTCTGCTCAATACACCGCTGGAAAGGTTGTGGAGTAACGGTACATGTTAGCAATATATCAGCCTTTGTCTCAGTGACACCGTAGAAAGTATGCCTACCTGAAATGAATGCTGTCGGATACCCTAAAAATGACGTACTTACTTTAAGAATATCTATACAAAGTAAAACTTTTCGGCTGATGCTGACAGTTTATTAGTGAGGTAAGAACATAAAGCTAAAATTACACAGCTGTAACTTTATCATTAAGAATTGTCGCGTATCAGCGCTTGCATTACTTTACTACAATTATGTTTGTTTAGGAGTACGCTAATGTTTTGTTTTCTTCGCGTTCAACAATGTGTACGCGACTGCCTCAAATCTTCTAAGTTTTGTTTTATTTCTTTCTTTTTTGCGTGTGTTGTGCCGTGCGAGTGTCCGTTGGTCACTCGAGGGGGCCGTCCTCCTTGTTTACGGGCAGCAGCGATCGGCGAGTCTTCCAGACCTGCGGGCGCCGGGTCAGCACAAAGGCGGCGGCCCGCTTTAATGCACCTTGCCAGTTCGGGTGCAAGAAGAGAGAAACATGTCCCTTTGTGCATCCGTGGCCTGTGGGACGTTCGACTCTGTTTCCCCGAATGGCTAAGCGACGGACCTCTACCACTGACTTCGTGGAACAATTTGTGCACGTGCGTGTATGTGTGTGTGTGGTGCGTGCGCGTTTGTGTCAGCGTGCGCGTATGTGTACTCGGATCTGTGGTCGACAGAGGAGAGCGAGAAAGCGCGGGAAGAGCCAGAGACGCAGCGAGAACGGCGAGCGAACAAGAGTCTGCGAATTGCGAGCGACTAGAGCGGTTGTGCGATGTGCAGAATTGAACGGTTGCGCGAGTAATCATTGTAACCTAGTTTTTTTTAATTAAATACAGCCTTATTTTGTTTTCATTTTCTTAACAGTGCGTGAGTCGTGTGTTGTGTCTTCTATCAATTTTCACCTTTTTACGGCCATACCGGCGACACCCTAATTTTTACCAAAAGCGGGATAGAGGACGCTAACATTCATCAGAAGTGGGATTTGACCGATTTTAGAAAACGTTCGGAACGAGTTTGAAAAACCTTAGCGAGGAGTGCGATTGCGTCAGTGCGAGAACAAAGCAATGGTGGACTTCCAGTGAGCGTGCACTTCCAGAGAGCTAACATCAGCCATGCTGGACGGATCATCGCCGGGGGAGAGTGGTCACCGTGATGACGACGACTGTGCTGAGCTCACCAAGCGGGAACTTTTCGACGCTTTGCGCGAGAAAGACCGCTTGTTGGCGGACCTGCTGCGGCGGCTGCCTCAGCCCGAGTCGTCGGGGGCTCCACACCAGGCGGCCAACAACACGTTTCAGGTGATGCCCGATTTGAGCAGAAATATTCCAGACTTTTCCGGTGATGGTTGCGCGTCAGCAGCCCGGGAATGGATGGAAAGTTTGCGCCAGACGGCTACGCTTCACCGGTGGCCAACGCCATTCCTGCTCGAAACTGCCAAGTGTCACCTGGTCGGCGCCGCAAAAGATTGGTACCGTTCGAGAGCTGCCGAAATTTCATCGTGGGACGATTTCGAGCGGATGTTCGGGCGGACTTTCTACAGTCAGACACGGGCGGCGGAGCGATGGAGGCGTATGCAAGAGCGAATGCAGCAGCGAAATGAGAACAGTGCTGCGTACTTCCACGAGAAGGTGCGCCTTTGCAGAGAGGCGCACTTGGATTTCTGTGATACGAGGGAGCAGGTGCTGACCGGTCTCCGATCGCGGGAGTTATGCACGATGCTTCTGGGAAGGTCGCATGAAGACGCGGATGACCTGTTGCACGACATTCAGGAATTTGAGAGGATCGACCGCGAGCGACGAGAACGCTTCGGGACAGCGGCTGAGCGAAGAGCGACAAGCGATGCACCTCGTATGCAACCTGCACCGAAGGCACCGCTGCAGGGAGCGTCCGGGTACGACAGGCGGGACCAGCGACCACCTATCACAAATCAGAACGGTGAGCGAAAATGTTATAATTGTTTCAAATTCGGACACATTTCGCGGGATTGCCCAGAGGAAAGACGAATTGAAAAATGTCTAAAATGTGGGAAGACTGGGCATACCCAAAAACACTGCCAAGCAAAAGGCCCCAGAAATGAGACCAACGCTGTCTCTGGAGAGAAAATTGATCCTGGCGTGCTTTTGAAGCCCGTTAAATGGAATGGCAATGAGACTTTGATTGGCATGATAGACACAGGCAGTTCCGGTTGCTTACTGCGCGAATCAGCGGCGGTGCGGTGCGGAGCGGAAGTACTGGAAGATGCGACAGCTCTGTATGGTTTCGGCAGCCATGGAGTTCCAGCTGCTCGTGCGATTGGCAGGTGACGGGCCGACTTGCTGATAGATGGCGTCGTTGGCAAGAATATACAGATACTTGTTGTACCCGACGAGGCCCAGTCGGTCGATTTGCTTGTCGGTCGCACGTTTACCGAACTGCCATATGTGACCTACGCTAGGCTGGGCGGCAGCTTGCAATTCTGGCATAGAGACGAGTGCCCATTCTCACATCTCGAACCCTTCGTTTCATGTCCGAAATTACGTTTGAAAACTGCTGAAGAGACCCCACTGCAGGCCAATGTTATAAATTGGGTGAGACTGTCATCGCAGTCTAACGTCACTGGTGCAGTGCTATTCAACAACTGTGGGTGCGAAATTCTTGTTGACATGGAGGACGGAGAGGTTACTGTGCCGGTGTTTACGAGCGGAAATGATGACGTGGTTCTACGTAAAGGACAAAGACTTGGCCACGCGACAGAGGTGGACATCCCGGGTTGCGAGATGAAGGAAATAAATGAGTGCAGAAAGAAGTGCAGCGCGGCGAAGCCACAACAAATTCTGGTTACGGAGGCGCGACGGCCGATTGGGTGCGAGGAAATTAAAATGGGCCCCTCTGTAACAGAGGAGCAGCGTCGTGAGCTCGCGTGCCTCCTAAATGAGTGCCGGGATTGTTTCGCCGCCAATTTCAGCGAACTTGGCTGCACATCTGCCCTTTCGATGGACATACAGGAGATACTTGGTAGCGCACCCGTGGCTGTTCGGCCCTACCGCACGAATGCAGCAAAGCGAGAGGCTATACATGACATCGTCGGAGAGCGAAAAAAAGAGGGAATCGGAACTGAGACACATTCCGAGTATGCGAGCCCAGTCATTACTACATTGATGGTCGATACAGAGCAGCGAGATTGGGACGAAAAGCTCAGTGAGGCAGAGTGCAGCTTGAACAACGCTGTAAACAAGACGACCGGGAAGACTCCCTTCGAGATGTTACACGGTTATCGACCGGAATTTTACAGCGTGGCACTGAAGCGCTTGGTTGAATCTAAAGTGTCAGAGTGGAAGGAGCCCGGCGGGCTGCGCGAACGTGTACGGCAGCGCCTCATGAGCGAGCAGAAGAAGATGAAGGTCGCTTACGACAAGCGCCACTTCCCGGCTAAAATGTACGGTGTCGGTGACGTGGTCTTCATGACGAGGGCTCCAGAACAGACGGAAAAGCCTGCCAAAGCCCAGCCAAAATATAGGGGCCCCCTTGTAATCACGGCAGTGTTGCCAGCTGACACGTATCGAGTTGCCGACCTTGACGAAACAAGGGCGAGCCGCTTCGCGACCACTGCGCACGTGTCGCAGTTGAATTGCTGGACAACGACCAATCCGCATTCACACCTTGATGACGACGGAGAGTCTGCGGAGGAGTCGGACGCCCCCGAATGTGAGGTGCAGCGACTGAGACGTTCGGCCCGTAGCTGCGCCAAGGCCCATCCCTATGCGAGTGCGCCATAGTTGCGTTGGCGTCTGTTGAGAACTTCAGTGTGTGCCGGGATTTACCGAGTGAACTGCGCGTACTGAAACAGTTGTTTTTTTTTCTTGTCTTCTTTGACGAAGGAAACAATTCTGTTTGTGTATTGGCGTGTGGGTTTGTTTATGATTTTTTTCCATTAACGAGGACGTTAATGACTGTCAGGACGACCGAGTGTACGCGACTGCCTCAAATCTTCTAAGTTTTGTTTTATTTCTTTCTTTTTTGCGTGTGTTGTGCCGTGCGAGTGTCCGTTGGTCACTCGAGGGGGCCGTCCTCCTTGTTTACGGGCAGCAGCGATCGGCGAGTCTTCCAGACCTGCGGGCGCCGGGTCAGCACAAAGGCGGCGGCCCGCTTTAATGCACCTTGCCAGTTCGGGTGCAAGAAGAGAGAAACATGTCCCTTTGTGCATCCGTGGCCTGTGGGACGTTCGACTCTGTTTCTCCGAATGGCTAAGCGACGGACCTCTACCACTGACTTCGTGGAACAATTTGTGCACGTGCGTGTATGTGTGGTGCGTGCGCGTTTGTGTCAGCGTGCGCGTATGTGTACTCGGATCTGTGGTCGACAGAGGAGAGCGAGAAAGCGCGGGAAGAGCCAGAGACGCAGCGAGAACGGCGAGCGAACAAGAGTCTGCGAATTGCGAGCGACTAGAGCGGTTGTGCGATGTGCGGAATTGAACGGTTGCGCGAGTAATCATTGTAACCTAGTTTTTTTTAGTTAAATACAGCCTTATTTTGTTTTCATTTTCTTAACAGTGCGTGAGTCGTGTGTTGTGTCTTCTATCAATTTTCACCTTTTTACGGCCATACCGGCGACACCCTAATTTTTACCAAAAGCGGGATAGAGGACGCTAACAAATGGGACAAAGTTTTATGACTATGACATTTCAGAACAATATCTCGTACGTGTATATGCAACACAAAGTGCTGTGAATGACCAAATATTTAAGTACCGCTTATTAGCAGCCACTTTAGAGTTGTGCCGTACCATGGAAAAGATGCCCTTTTACTGTGGCACCGCTCTCAAAAACGAGGCAAGTGATGTGTTAGTTATTGTACTTTATTCATCACAATATTGGATATTGTACAAACAGGAACACATCAGACCCATGACTATTTCACATGAAACAGGTTCAGCTCATTTCTTAACTCGTCCAACATGTTACAGAACAACAGTATAAAAACATTTCTTGTCGATACAAACTGCATACCACTAAAAACATTCGACGAAGCCACCAGTATTGTACGGTGGAAAATCCACAGTCACACAGTGTGGCGTTACCCACAATGCAGACACCATTTCTCACAAACATTGCAGCACAGTAGTCACCAAGACCGACGCGTGCACAAAGAACTGAAGGTGGTTTCTTGATACAACCTGTTTTTAGTCTCAAAAAGGTCGCATTTTCGTGCAGCAAATTTCAAGAAACAATCGCTTTGACTAACGTCATGTGGTGCATATGATATATAAAGTGCGATAAAAGGCAACGATAAAACAAGATACACTAAGGTCAATCCGTGCATAAAAGAGATACTAGTACAACATCTGAAACATGAGCAAACATTTCACTAGCGCACGCGCTGCGTTCAAGTACAGGGCAGTTGTATAGCGATGGTCAAGGGACGACACAGCGCCAAATACGCAAACTGTGACATTGTCCGTTTCTCACAGGAGCTGTTGGGCCTTAACGAAGCAGCGTTTTGGAACGCAGCGATCGCTGGACATGAGCTTGCAAGCCACAGCTCGCGAATGCATGTATTGCCGAGAAAGCTCCAACTCTGGCGGAGCGGAAAGCTGCGTTGCTCATTGCCAAGCAACTCCTAGAGCCACCGGGACACCACAAAGCGTGTAAGAACGAAAAAAAGTGCATAAAGGTGACGTGATCAGATTAGAACGCATGGATTATGGTAGAAGTGCAAATAGTCGCCGCCAACAGGGTGCGGCCGAGTGTTATTGCAAGTTTAAAAGTGATGGAAGTGGCACATTTCATGCTGCAATGAAATGTCTTTTACTGCTAAAAAAAAACGCCTCGCACAGGTACATGAGCGAGTTTTCACGTTGTGAATTAAAACTTGCTGATTTGAAATTTTGATGTATTGAATAAAGCTACATGACCTCTCGCATCTATATATCTATAACATACTACAGGCACACAGGTACATAAGAGGGAAATAAGGGAATAGAAAAACTTGGCTTCTTTTCCCGCAGTGAACTGCTCTGTCTTATACGGGGAAGCATAAGACGCAATGCCCTAGATTGCTGCCAAACCCTGTCATCCACACAGAGGTCAGCTATACACAGGCCTTCGCAATACGGCCCGCTGAACAAACCTTACTGCCTGCGAAGGCACACTTATATAACCTATAGCGATACGACTCTCCGCCAAAAGTACGTAGCCAACGCAGAGCATGTGTCTTCATCTATTCATGTTATCTATTGAAAAACAAGCTATCGCCATGTTAAAGCTTATTCACATCAGTGACTCACAGCAGTCACGATCGCAACTAGCCCCAAACGGTCACTGTTGTCGAAGGACGACTGCTTTGTGTCAGTCGCGCACTGTTTCTTTAAAAAAATAATTTGAACTACTGCGATTGCAAATGATTTGCATGAACCAGACACATTAGAGCAGGATGCCTGCTTGTTTTACGATATGATGCTGGTGCGAACCGGCGTGAACGAAACTTATCACGAGGAAATTTGGTGTGGTGACGGGCTGGCCTCGCATGCCGGCGTGAAATCGCTCGCACGGCTTCTGCTAATCGCCAGTGTGAATGAACGCATAGCGGGACGAGGACAAAAAAAAGAGATAAAGGCTTCAAAGAACAAGTTGAGTATATTTTTGATAAACAGAGCATGCAAAGAAAACGCCTAAAAAAAGGCAGGGTGGTGGGCTGTTCTGTTGTCACCATCTCGCATGAACTCGCCCAGCTATTCCTATAAACTTGAGTACATTCAACAATACACGCGCGCATGCAAAAAAGAAAGAAAAAATAAAAAAAATAAAGAGAGCAGCAATAAAAATAGAAAGAAAAGCGCAATTTCAAAAGCTGTTTTATCTATAAGAAATTAATGTAGCTATATACGATCAAAAACTCAGCTTCTATCAGTGCTCCGATTATTCATTCGCACCAAAGCACGATTAGGAATGACTGCGCTTACAATGTTAAAAAAACTTCCGAGATAACGACTCTCTGTGCTCGCTACGTGTATGGGAGCGCGCACGTCTGTATATATAACGGGAGGGGAAAGTGATAAGCCTTAATACTTGTTTGTCCTGACGACTACGATCATGCAACGCGCAGTAGAAAGCATTACTCATGAGAGGCAGCCTTTGTTTCAAATCAGGGCAAAACGTGCTGTAATTATGAAAGCACTTTAACCACCAGTGACTTGTTCCTGCAGATAGCTATTCAGCCAGGATCTTAACGTAGCAATAAACAGGAAGTGATATGAAATCGCAGTACATATTTGCTACATTGCCAAAATAATTAGACGTATGATAGCGGTGCATTGCCACGCGAAAAAATTGCACGTTGCGTTTTTAGGGCCCCCAAAACCACCAATGGCTGCTTTTCATTCGCGTTTTTTTTTAAGCCCGTGTTGGCGTTCGACGAACTAGCCAATAGCTGAACAGCGGCTCGCTCAGCATTCGACAATGCAGTGCCTGCCTCTTAAAAACCGTAGTTGTAAGTTCTTCCCGTGAGATCTGCAGGTCTCCGACAGTGGCTATGGCTGGCACGAGTATGGGCGAGCAGCCGCTCAGGCGATGGTGCGCACCTCATGCGGCGAACGCGCCTGCTTCTTGGAGCCGGACTCTTCGGGCACCAGGGCGCTCTTTGAGCGCTCCCAGACAGACGCATCGCTCGCCTTGAATTCAAGGTTCATGAAATGGCAAGGAGCCAGGCCTAGGCAAGCGCGCAAAACGTTGACAATGCAGCAGCGCTGCTTGAAGAGTGCGTTGACAACGGGCGCGCCAGGAGGCACGGCGGGCGCCTTGCAGAGGTACGACAGCAGAGAGAGTACGCTGTGGAAGCCCTGGAACTTGTTGCCGGCCACGCTGAACTCGATGCGTTCGCACAGCTCGGCCAGAACGAACAGGTCTATGATGAGGGGCGCTGCCAGTAGTGAATCCTCGCACGTGTTGTGCACCACTATGGTGTTGTGGCCGCCCATCATGATCTCACTTGTGTACTCATCCATAGCACGCTTGCTATCGCCCACGTATGGCACATACTTGATGACCACCTGTGATGCAACCGGAAATAAAGAAGTCATTCACCAAGTAAATCGTGAATATTATTTCCATACAACCGAGCTGACGCTCTCTTCACAACACAACGCTTCCTATTAAGTGCAAAAAAGGTAATTAATGTTAGCACTGTGAAAGAGGAAACCAGGTTGAAGTACCAATATACGGTTCCGTCATAATTCATGAGCGCAACTTCTCGCTGGAAGTTACATTGGAGGAAGCACTTCTGCAGTTTGCAGAACAGGGTGTTCAGTCAGAGTAGAATTTCTAATGCGGAGATAGCCTCATGGTAAGTTTCCGATCATGTAAATTCGAACGTGGTGATCAGTTTTAATGGCCAATATGAAGAAACATGATGCCTGCAAGCTCTAAGTCACCTTAAAGAGATAATATTTTCAGGCCAGAAAAGACGCTTTGTATGATGCAACGCGTAAGGCGGCACGTCGTATTCGCAGTTAACGTGCACAATGTCGAACGCGAAACGAGAAATGCGAGCACATTTGCCCAGATAACTGCGACGTTGACGTGATTAAAATCGCAAGAAGTGAGCAAATGCATCACTTCGCTTTTCTCTCTATTAGGATATGCGACCCGCCCCGGTGGTCTATAATGGTCATGGTGCTGATTGCACATCCGAAGATTGTGGTGCCGGATTCCGTACGCGGCGGCCGCGTTTCCGGTGGAGGCGAAAATGCATGCGGCCTGCATAGTTATATGATCGAAATTTTTGGTGCCCTCCTCTACGGCGTCCTCCATAATCGTAACCTGGTTTTGGGACGTAAAACTCAAACAATTCTTATTGTTGTTCAAAATGGTAATGCGCACCAGTACTAGACAAAAGACAAACAATAGGACGTGAATGCTAAAAAAAAAAAACGCTAGACAAATACAGAGGAGAGGTCGAGTACTCTCGCTTATCTGTTGTCTATTATTAGCGCTCCTTATCATTATAAATAAAATGTTCCCACTTTCCTAACTAGCAACATCATTGTATTAATGCGATAGCGTTAAAGAGTTGGTTTTGCGGGAATTCCGGCGTCAGCCTCGGTGGTTGTGAGAGAAGAGTTATCATCTTGCGCGTTACCAAAAAATCGGGAAACATGCGAATAAAATAAAAAGAAATTCTGTACTCGAGTCGGGAGCGAACCATGGTCATTACTGTGGCAAGTGGGTGCTCTACCACACAGCCACGCGTCTGCTTGGGAATGCATTGCAAATAACTTCCTCTGCTTGGAAATGCAGTGAAAGTAACTTTCACGCTTTACAAACACGCGCCCGACATGTGTGTACATGATTCACCCTACAACATGAACTATTGCAGTATTATTGCGTAGTACAAGCGTACATTACCATTGGTGTCAGACTGTGTTACTATAATAATGACTTCATGGTTTAAAGCCCGTCACTCACTACAAAAAAGCGCACCTATTACTGCACGTATTCTCTGAGGCCCAGTTGTGATTGCATGACAAGTTCGAAAAGATTTCATGCACTAAACCCCGTAATCACAAACGCTCATCAACTTGACTTCCACCCTTCCCTTGATAGAGTTGAGCACTGTGCCACCGCTCGGCTGAAAATGACGCTGCGCTACTCAAGAATCGCAGCCGATTATCGCTGATATGCAGTGACTTGCCATGCCTAGAGACGGCGCTCCCATCGGCTTTCTCAAGTGAAGGTGAAGCGTTGAGTGAAGGGACGTTCTAGCATACGGGGGTAAGTCTTTTGAACTACGCGCTAACAAATATCGCTATCACGTTTACCTCTTAAAGGCGAAGCTTAACGGTCCCCTACTTTTTTTTTTTATCTTTGAGATGTGCAAGCTGCAGAGCGCACACGAAGTGACTGTCCATCTCGATTTGCTCGGTCTTGCTGGCACTGGAGATGACTTGCAAGATAGGGCACATGTGCCAGCTTTTGCAAGTGTCACCACGCCGCGCAACGGCCTGACCAGTGAAGGAGACGCAGGTTTTGCCTGCAACAACGGTAGCAAGTGTCTCCGGCCAATTGATCTAGGTGGCATTGCCCCGGCTCAGACGTGTTTACCACTTCCTGCCCTCACATAGACGATGCAGAACCCTCGAGAACACTTCCATCATCACCTGCCCGCGCATGCGCAGACTGTGCTATCTTGAATGCCTTCTCTCGGGGCCAGAGCATACAGTGCACCGTGCGCGATAGGCTTTTATCGTGCTTATATTTTACGCGAAACACCCAACCGCAGAGAAATTTTCGCTTTCAGTGTACCTAATTGATTGATTTGTGGGGTTTAACGTCCCAAAACCACCATTTGATTATGAGAGACGCCGTAGTAGAGGGCTCCGGAAATTTTGACCACCTGGGGTTCTTTAACGTGCACCCAAATCTGAGCACACGGGCCTACAACATTTCCGCCTCCATCGGAAATGCAGCCGCCGCAGCCGGGATTTGAACCCGCGACTTGCGGGTCAGCAGCCGAGTACCTTAGCCACTAGACCACTGCGGCGGGGCTTTCAGTGTACCTATCATTGCCATTAAAAAAAAAAAAAACAAGTGAGTAAGGTATAACAGCTTGATTTTCGAAAAATTGAGTGGACATGAAATCTGCTAGGGATGCAAAAAAAATTGCTAGTTTCCCGTAATCGAGAGCAGCGTAACGATGAAATGGCTATACCGGCAAAACAGACCGCAACACAACATAGCGTTAACGGCAAGCGTGTTCATGCAGTCAGGCGCCATCTCTTGAAGGAGATGGCGCAGAACTCACGGATAGCTTACATTGGGAAAAGCGCAGGTAACCCTGCTTAAGCGCCAAAAAGATGAGTCAAGCGTATTGTGTTCTGTGCCTAGCTGTGGAACATCGCTATTCAAAACTACAAAAAAAATGCAGCGTACTGGAAGTACACCTTCAGTGAAATTGGCATCAAATACTAGGAAAAAGTCGGAACCAATACTTTTGTAACATATTTGGGCAGCAACTATAGCGTATATATTCTGAGGTCCTATACAAAGGGCTGGGCGCCAGAAACCGCGTTTTCTTAACTTTCGACTTAGTTGCCGTATGATCTCTGTTCTTCCACCATTGTCTGGATGTTCTCGTACAAGTGCCCGGATGACGGATCTGGCTTTTGGCTTGAAACGCCTAAAGGTTGTCAACGACGGTAAAACATTTCTGGCTTACAATTACGTACATTAGAGATAATGCCGGTACAACACAACGGCATCTGCAGGGGCCACAATATCTAACTGCCAGTGTAGCACCTGAACTACAAGGAAGAAACTTCCGACACATTTATGACATGGACGCATAAGAAAGTTCTCTGACACCCCTGGTGCACAATATGAAGTGTGTTACCTTTATAGTGTTCGGAGCAAGGCACATGAATAAAATATAATGCATGGCACAGACTGAATAAAATATAATGTGTCATAAATGTTTGTTATATACAACAGAAACTTGTTTCTTTTTTTTCCGTTTTGCACAGTTTACCAGTGCTGACGTCATCGTTATTTGGTGAAACCGTTTTGTTTCAGCCAACCTGGATTGGGAAAATCAGGGTGAACAGTGAAAGTGCCTCAGACAGGCTGGCCGACGTTTCGACAGAGGACCTATTTTTGTCAAAGGCGCCTTGTCCTCCTTGGCGTATTAGTTTTATGGGCGTTAGTAGTGACATCATCACCTGTTGGTGGCACGTGTTCCTGTTGGTAATTCGTCACTAATAACCCCCTTTAAGCTAACGCTCCAAAGATGGTAAGGCTTGCCCCGTCACGGTAGTCTAGTGGCTAAAGTACTCAGCTGCTGACTCGCCGGTCGCGGGATCGAATCCCGCCTGCGGTGGCTGCATTTTCGATGCAGGCGGAAATGTTGCAGACCGGTGTGCTCAGATTTGGGTGCACGTTAAAGAACTCCAGGTGGTCAGAATTTCCGGAGTCCTCCACTACGGTGTCTCTCATAATCAAATCGTGGTTTTAAGACGTTAAACCCCACTAATTAATCCATCAAATACAGATGGAAAGGCGCCTCTGAAAAAGATAAGCCTTCCTATCAAAACGTCGGCCAGCCTGTCTGAAGCACTACCACTGTTCACCCGGATTACACCCCTACGTGTTTTTATTTGTCGGCTCCCATCTTAATTTTAGCCAACCTATATAGCACATATCCCGAACAACAAGTTTTTCCGCGTCCTCCCCCCCCCCCCTGATACAAGTATTTCAACAATGATCTATTGCAGAGACTGCCACAAAATGTTTTCAAGTGGTGTGTGCATGAGTGTCGCGATACTGTGCCCCGCGACCTGCGTGGTTCCTCGTTTCGGAGGGCACAGTCTGTGTAAATGGCCATGGCGCGGCGCCACATACCGGTAGCTTCGTGAAGCTAGCAGAGGCACGCTGGTCACATATAGCTGCACTTTATCGACACAAGATTCACGTAAGATGGATTGAAAGCTCGCGCCATCTACGTCCATGTGATACCAAAGTAGCGGAAGTTAAGCATAGCGAGCCGTAGCCTGCATAATACAACACACTAAGCGAAATTGGGTGAAACAATGAGTCTGATTCAGCATTTCACTACTTACGCAATGATCTGGCTTCTCGGCCGGGGCGTAAAGGATTGAGTTGCTGTCAACCATGTCGTCAACAACGTTGCTTTTGCTGATTTCTTTGGATCGAAATTGGGCCGGAGCCGACAAGTTCTTGCCGTCATTGTTGCCTAGGTGGTTGTAGCTGACGATGGAGACTGGCTTGATGCCGGCTGACACCAGGAAGTCCACGAGCACGGACTTGAGTTTTGTCTGGCCAGATTTAAAGTCATCCCCAGCCAAGAAGACCTGGCGCTGCCTGGCCAGCTCCTGAAGTCCTGGTACGAGAGTATTCTGAGGGGACCCGTTGATGTAGGTGCACTGCGAGTCGAAAAAAATATGTTTCACTCGCAACACGGGTAATTTTATATCAGCAATGGCAGGAGAGTGTCCATGGGAGCGCTGAAGTCATTAGCGTAGCCAGGGGGAGGGACTGTGGTTTTAAACCTCCCTCGCCTAGCGAAAGTTTGTTATTTTGTGGGTGTATATTGCCTGACCATGGTGCAGTCATTAACTTCTCAGCGGTGCGGTTCGGAGCAAGCTTTCGTGAGCCTAGTTTCTTCCTCTGCAAGCCTCATATAACCTGCGAAGCCGCTAAATATGTCCCAGTGTTCCGGATTGTATACATGTGCGCACACATACAAACGCACGCAGTACATCAAAGAGGGCGGGGGATCGGGAGTGCCCCTAGTCCTTCAAAAGGATGTGCCTCACTGAGACACAACAGAGAATGAGAACCAGCCTGGCGATATTCCAAACAAAGCGAATGTGCACTAAACCAAGAAATTAGGAGTAGGTATTAGCTAATTTTTCGAAAATCTACTCAAACGATGCAATGGCGGCATCAACGTTGTGCCTAATATATATATATATATATATATATATATATATATTAGACGAGCTCTACTGCCACGAACGCCGTTTCAACGATTGATTGATTGATATGTGTGTGGGGTTTAACGTCCCAAGCCGTTTCAACGAGATTTCCGCTACAACAAAAAATTCACGATTCCCCGTGAGGTGTCAATGCCTTAGTATCGTCGTAACAACGAACACTTTTTCTTCGATCGGCCCACTTCAATGAAATTTCACGATGCCATTGCAGGTTCAGATACTTATATGCTATGCAGTAAACCGAATATTTAATATTTCGATGCATTTTCAGAGCCTGAAAATGTGTAAACGAAGTCTAGAACACGCGTTGGCACCACCAGAAACCGCCGCTATACCACCGCTGTTCAGCAAGAATAGGCACCGCCATTGCTAGATAGTGACGACAATGAGACTGCCCTGCTTTTGTTTTGCCATTGGCTTGCCTTTGAGCAGAGACGATCCGAAGCTGAAGCTCAGTCGCTCAGTTCATGATTTCCTTCGGGCAGCTGCTGGGTGCAACCGCGGCACGATGCCTTTTCCGATGCTTATCTTTATGTTCGCGCTTGGTCAGTGTGGTAACTAATCAGAGTGGCTGTTCGTCCACGTTATCAATAAAATCAGCTCGCCGCAAGTGATGAATGATAAGAATGGCGTAGAATAATGCAAAAGTCGCCGCTCCACGATACCCAGCCTCCATCACGGCGTTGTCGGATACTTTTGACGGCGTACAGCTGCTGGTGTTAACGTGTTAATGCAACTGTTTGGTTCTATAACGAAAGCAGTTTTAGGCGTTGTTTCAGCGTGCTTTTCACCATGGCCTCGCTATGCATGGGTGAGAGAGAATCACGTCGTGACGCTGCTGGGAAAGAATAAGAAGAAGCGGACATTTTTTTGAGTTTTGAGAATTAACGTTCCTTTGTTTTACTAGCTCAGATCAGATATAATTTTTTCGATTTCACTACAACGAAATTTTTGCTTAAGCGAAGTTTGTCTGCACCCCCTCAGTTTCATTGTATATATATATATATATATATATATATATATATATATATATATACATATATATATATATATATATATATATATATACACAGAGCTCTTTGTTCGACCCTACTGACCTAAGATTACAAACCAAAATGTTATATCGTGGCCACCAGTACTATTTTTTAAGTCGATACTCTTCAGCTGCCCCGCTAGATATCTGTAACCTAAATATTCGGTTTCCACAACTTCCACATATCACCTTCCATAACTTCCCACTTAAGAAAATTCAGAATTTCTCGAAGCCTCTAATAACGAGCTCCATGAAACAGTCAGTAAGAAAGTAAAGGGCATGTATCCTTACCCCTTCGAGGACAGCGGCTACAGCAAAGATTGTCGATGGAGACACTTCAGGATGGTTCTTTTGAATGGCGTCAAGAAGGTTTTCAGCCGTGTCATGGACGCCGTCAGTGACGTCGCAGTAGCGCTCCGTGTTGGCAGTCCACAGTACGATAGTCTTGTCCACTTTGCTCGATGCAATGAAGTCACGGATGTCAGCCTGGATGTGTTCTAGTTGTTGCTGTTTGTTTCCTGTTGAACATGAAAATAAATAGTTGTCAAATGAACAGATTGTTTCATTAAAATTCGCGTTGAATATTATCATGCTCGCTATGACGAGCACAATGAGCATTTGCACCTTCCAGTAAACAGTGCTGAAACCGAGTAGCGTGTTCCGTGATAAACTTTGGACTTCAGCGGCTTATGGATGAACCAGAACAAGTAGCTGCAGATTTGCTTACCTGCTATAATATTGTCGGCGCGGTCCTCCTGGTTGGCGGCAACAAAGGTTGGGTCAAAAATACCAGGTCGAGGATGCATCTTATTCATGTGGGGCGCCAGCTGATCTTGAAGCTGCACATCGAGCACTTTGGCCCTGCGCATTGCCTCGGCCATGTTTAGGCTAGAAATATCCCAGCCATCAAAGACCACATCATTCGGATTCACCATGGGCAACAGGTCCTTCAACGGAACGTGCACCTCTCCCTGTGGACCGTTCCCCAAGCTGACTGTAGACGCTTGCGTGATGGACCCGTAGTAGTTGGCATACTGAAAATACGAAAACGGTAAGTTGAAGACAAACACAAGCCGCCTATATTGTATGCACTTCGTGAAGGTGCGCAATTGTGCAGTTCTTCAAACCTTGTTCACAGTATCTGTCACCTCAATAAATTTAACAAAAAATAGATTTAATAGGTACAAAACTCACAACGCTTTTTGTCACCCGTCACAGTAACTTAAGTACTATTTTGTTACGCTGCTGCATTCGAGGTCACATGCGCTGATTCGGCAGCGGCTGCCGCATCAGATCATTGTTTCGGAACATGAAAACACCAGAATTTAGGCAGCTGCGCAGTAACTGTAAAGTTAAGTGGTTCTGTCGTCTCTACAAAATGTTCTCGACTGCATTCGTCATGACCTCTCTTTAGTATATTTTTTTTTCGCTTGAGAACGGTTGAGCATGCCTTTTCAATTCCGTGTTTGGACAATTTGTATACCACGTCTTCCAATAACGACCATAAGGCCGTAATTGTTGATTTAAATGTTGCTTGTAAGCATACGACCAACGTTTAAGACTGTGCTGAATTTTGAAGGCGCCGACGACACTTCTATTTTCGCTAAACTTGCAACATGCTTTGACGATTTCTTATCGAGTAGTGACCACTGCAGTATTGATAAGTTGACTAACCATTTTTACAGTATAATTAATGAATGTATAGCGCAGTTTGTTGCTCACAAGAGCATAAAACGTCATGTCAAACACCCTTGGTATACCAGGTCAATTATACAGCTTAAACGTCGTATTAAGCGACTGCGAAAGCGACGGAGGGTTCACAATAATGACGGGGAGTCCCAAATTAACTTGCTTAAATCTGAACTAAAAGCTAAAATGAGTGATGCCAGAAAGTTTTACTTTAATACCACGTTAAGCTCTTTTATGAAAAATAATCCCATTAAGTTTTGGAAATCTATCAATCCTACCATGGCCTGTCCGTCAACCTTCATGATAGATGATGTGTCCTGCTCTGATTCATCCAAAATTTCTGAAGCCTTTAATAAGTATTTCCAAACTGTATTTGGAGGTGACAATGGAACGACCCCTGACATTCGTAGCAGCCAGGAAATAGATTCGTTTCCAGCAATTGAAATTATCTACACTGGCGTTCTTAACCTTCTGTTGAATATCGACACTACTAAAGGTGCTGGGCCAGATGGCATATGAAACATGTTTTTGAAGCGTTACGCAGAATGGAATGCTCGTTATTTATCAATAATTTTTGTTAAATCATTAGAAACAGGTATTGTGCCGACCGTTTGGAAAATCGCCAATGTAATTCCTGTGTTTGAATCGGGTAATAAGCAACTCATTTCTAACTACAGGCCTATTTCATTAACGCGTACCTGTTGCAAGTTTTTAGAGCACATAATTCATAAACATGTACTTCAGCACCTCACTGATAACAACTTATTGTCCCGTAATCAGCATGGTTTCCGCTCTGGTTTTTCTACAACTACACAGCTCATTGAATTCACTCACGACATCGCTTCGGCTCTTAATACTCGAGGACAGGTTGACGCCGTATTCATAGATTATAGAAAAGCATTTGAGTAGTATGTCACAAAAAACTTCTTACTAGACTCAGAAGTATTATTAACGATGACAAAATAATAGGCTGGATAGCTGATTGGCTACGTTTGAGGTCACAATTTGTTACGTTTGAGCATGCGCAGTCATCGTCGTGTGCAGTCACTTCCGGGGTTCCACAGGGCTCGGTGCTTGGGCCCCTATTGTTCATTATTTATATAAATGATGTCACACAGGTCATTAGGGAAACACCAGTGAAGCTGCGATTGTACGCTGACGACTGCGTTTTATATACTAGCGTAAATAATGCTCATGAGCAAGATGCTCTGAACAAAGTATTTTTGTCCTTTTGTGGTTGGAGCGCCACGTGGCAAATGAACATTAATTACCAAAAAACTGTTCAAATGACATTTACTAATAAAAAACAGCCGCTAAGGTTTAGTTATAGTTACAATGGACACTACCTAAACTCTGTTAATACATTCAAATATCTTGGTGTTACCTACGCTCAAAACCTAAAGTGGCACCATCACATTGAAACAATTTGCGCTAGAGCACTTCGAAAACTGGGATACATAAAACGAACACTCAAGCACTCTACCAAGGACTGCAAATTAACGGCGTATAAATCGCTCGTCCGACCATTGCTAGAGTACGCCTCAGCGGTATGGTCACCCTATACTGCACTTGACATAAATATGCTCGAGGGCATACAGAAAAAAGCAATACGATTTATATTTGGCCGGTATGACCGCAATTTTTCTCCCTCATCTCACGCATGGTCATTGTCGTTAGAACCCCTTGCTTTCCGACGCACACTTGACCGTATCACTCTGCTACATAAGATTGTACGCAGCCGCAGTTGCATTGCAGCACCGATTACTTTTTGTGATTCAGCACGACGAACCACGCGCCGATCTCACCCACTCAACATCGTTCCCTTCCAGCCATTTGTAAATTGCTTTAAGCATTTCTTTTTTCCAGCCGTTGTTGAGATTTGGAACAACCTAGATGGTTCCCTACGCGAAAAACCAATTGAAATGTTTTTGAAAGAACTGCCTAACCATATTTTGTAATATGTTTTAAATGCTTTGTATGTTTCTTTGGTATTGCTTAATGTATGTTCGTTCCTTTTCCTAATGTACCCACTCCTGCTATGTCTTGTGTATCGAGACAGCAGTATCTGTAAATAAATAAATAAAATAAATAAATAAATAAACTCATCATCCCTTAGCAGATTTTGACAGTGTTTACTACAGAGTATACATAGTTATTATTCGGCAAAATTGAAATAGATTGTCCTCTAAGGCGACTGTAGATTTAACGTAGCAAGTTTCAAAAATTTCTTGAAAAAAAAATGGGGCTAAAATTCGAAAAAACCAAAAAGTATTAAAATATTTACATCATGCTGTCATTATGGGCACGGATTTCAGTGCGTAATTTTAAAAAACTGACATTACGATCCCCATTTTCTCTTCTGTTAGCAAACCTTTGATGGTGAAATTAACGAAAGTGAAGTTTTCCCATAATAATTCATCAATCTGAGTCTATTTACTGTTTCAACTTAGTTTCTTTTTAAGAACAGAAGAAAAATACTTTTTTCAATGCTTTGTGTATCACCGGAACACTATATCTACAACAGCACCACGTTTGTGAGCGAGATGTATATTATTTGGTCTCCCTAAACCAACAAAATAAAAAAGCAATACGCTATGTAGCATTCTCTTCACGATAGCGCACAATGTTAACACACATTTGCTAAATATTTTGTACGAAAGTGTACTAGGACGACTGACCAGACGCTGTGTGCCTGCTCTGTCTAGACTTATAAATTCGTTGATGAAGTCGTGAAATTGTAATATTTACTCAGACGGCCTTCCAAGGTCAACGCATCGTAACACTTTTCGGCCCTAACTTATAAATAGTCGGCTCTCTGAGTTTGGGGCTATTTAACTTCTTAGAAAAAGTTTTTTTAGAAAACAATAACTTGTATTGAGTGTATGCCACATGCGAAACAGCACGCACTCAAGCAACAGGTTCAAAGGCGAAATATTCGAGGGTTATATCTAATGGATGTATAATTAGATGCCTTAAAGGGCCCGTAAACCACCCAGAGTTCAAAATTCAGTAGGGGTGGTCAAATAGTGCAGGAGTGTACGACGAACACGGAGCCATAAGAATTTTTCTAAATGGTGCAGTAATAGCGGAGTTAGACGTGTTCGATTATTGAAACCGCTACGATCACTCCATTTGCTCTCTGCTGTGCTCCCCTCCGCTGGTATCTTCTCCGAAACCACCTCGCCCTCTCGTCGAGTGCCCCTCCCATGCCCCTCTCCACGGAGGAAGGAAAGGTAGGAGAGGCCCCGACGTCACTCTTTGTGAAGCCGCGATGAAGCCGGAAGTCGGCCATATTGGCTGGGCAAATTCTCTTCGCTTGTTTACATCCGAATGTAAAGCAGAAGGCACGACTCTCTCTCCGGCTCGGAAAGCACGTGAGCTGCGCAGCGCGTGCGTCGTGACGATCCGAAACTAATGGAACGGGGCTCATGGATGGATGGATATGGCTGTACCCTTTAGATCGGGCGGTGGCTAGTGCCACCAAGCCGTAATATTTAGTAAACCAAAAACTAGATGTATCTTTTTTTGCCTTTAAATAGTGAAGTTCAGGACTGGTACTTTGCAGTAAAGGGTTTAATTTTCACTTGTGCATTGATTTTAGCCGCCAATCAGATAACCTCCTTCTAGTTAATTCTACCCGCTTAAAGTCTATCTTGCCCTCCCTGTCCTTAAACCCCAGAGATTTGAAAAACTCTGCGCCATCATTCTGAACTATATGGTGAGGCCCTTGACAGAACATTATCAAGAGTTCGGCAGTTTAGTCCTCCTTTCCACATGCACTGCATACCATGTCTACCCCTTCGTACTTGGCCCGATATGTCTTGATTCGCAATACTCCCGTCCTGGCCTCAGACAGTAGAGAACTACCCGAGTGTTATCATAGATCCTTTCCTTGGCAATTTCCTGCTTAAAAGCTCGATAGAGCTCTAGTGCGGACTTCTTAATCATGCCAATTCTCCATATATCGGTCTCAGCTTCCTACACCTTCTTCTTAACCGATAATTCTTTTTGGTTTGGCCCCCTGCTGTTTACTAAGTATTTACCAGTCAATTTTCTGGTTCGCTTCCTCCATTTTGTATCGACAATTTTCATGTACAAGCAGCTGAATACCTTCCTAGCCCAACGCTCCTCCCCTATTTCTCTCAATTGCTTCTCAAAATTTATTTTGCTGCTAGCTTCCCTGCCCTCAAATGATGCCCATCCCATATCACCTTGTACTCCCTGATTTGGTGTATTCCCATGAGCTCCTAAGGCAAGCCTACATATTCCACGTTGCTTAATTTCTAATTTTGCTTGAACTTCTTATCTCATGCACAAGACCGCATTGCCGAACGTCAGACCAGGAACCATGACCCCTTTCCATATTCCTCTCAACACTCTGGGCCAGCGCGACACCTTCGGCGAAATCATTTCGTCCGAGTATTAACAGCAAGTAACAGCTCTCACCGACAACGAAGCAAGTACAAGAGAACGCGCGCTAGATGCACTGACAACGCTGAGTGTTTTCACGTCATTAATTCAGCAACTGCACAGACAACACGATCGGTCGTTCGCCTTTTACGGTTGCATTGCGCCACGTGGCCGACTCAGCGCCCGGCCACTGTGTCCATGTTCCGCGTGAAACTCACCGGCGTAAGAATTCTGCGACCATGGTGACTTTGAGCACGGTGCAAATGACACTTGAACGCGGTTGCTGTTACGTTGAGATTACATGCAATGCTGGTGGAGAGTATACGAAGCAGAGCCGAAAAGGTGTTTTATTACGCTCATGCAAGTTGTTACTGTACACACAGAACACGAAACTACGTATGTGCGCATGGTCCTCATTGCTTCTTGCTGGGCTCAACAGCGTCGTCCGTTGTCACAAGCAGGAGCACTGCCCAACCGTCACTGACCAACAAGGCGTTCGTCGTCGTTCCGCTTCGTCATGGTGCTTAACGCAATTTTGCTGAACACTAATTGCTTCATCAGCGTCATCCGCCGACGACACATGAATATGCACTCGTTCTACGCACTGTTGAAACTCCGAGATGGAGGAAAAAATTTGTAAACGTTGCTAAGAGTACAGTAACTGCCAGGAGAACACTGCGTAACCAATAACGCGGTGCAGAGCACGGATATTGTCTGCCACGGCTCAGCACCAGACCTGGGGAGGCACACATGCTGCCGCCAGCCGCGGCCGCTCACTGTTGGACCAGCTTCACTGCGCAACACGTAACCATAGCAACGCCGCCATTGTGCAGTGAATATGGCCACCATGATGTCATTTGCTCCACACTTTTCATGTAGCGCTCCGGCTGGGCATGCCCTCTCCTACCTTTCCTTCCTCCGTGCCCCTCTCAATATCGCGTGGCATACGTCATCGCTGACGCGCTGCTTGAAACACTGTCTGCTTCCGGTTGCCGCCACTCCGGCCGTCGACTCTGTTAGTTGCGTTGCAGCTGCGTGCTTGTTGGCAAACCATGGCTGCCGTAATAGTGCATGCATGGTCTCTGCGTTATGCGCACGCCTTCAAAAGATCGCCAACGCGATGGACCAGTACTGGGACACGCCATGCCCCGTACGTGTTGCACGCACGCGGGCAACACGACGAACAACAAGAAGCAGCGCGGACAGCTGCAGAGCTTGCAAACTGACTGGAAGTCGTAGGCTCTTGCATGATGACTAATCACAGCATATTGGGCTCGGTGCGTCAGAGATATAAAACGGTGCGTCACGCGGAGGCCCGAAAGGCCCGGAAATATATGGAGGGATTGTTCTTTGGTATTTGTGGCATGCCGGCGGCTCGTAGCGCTGCCACATGTAGAATCGTTGATCACGACGGAATTCTGCATCCAATGCGTGCGTTTACTTGAAATATTTAAAAAAAACGAAGCATGTCTGAGGTGGTTTACGGGTCCTCTAAAGGGGCCTTGTCACACCTTTTCAGCCTGGTCAGAAAGCGCTTCCCCCGAGGCTTCGGAAAACATGGGAGCCGACCATTAAATCGCATTACGGGGTCAGGTCTTTACAATTCTCAAAGTTAGTTAGAAATAATTTCTTTTTCTCTTGATGAATGATGCAAACAACCCAAATGACCGCGCCATATACCCAAAGCCCACGGCCACTGGCTGCCATTATGAGCTGCATAGTTAGCGTGGCCGCCTCGGGACGCCACCATATACCAAAGCTCGAGCTAGCGATCACAGCGTGTTCGAAGAAAAAAAAAGTGTCCAAGGTCATAACGCGTGCTAATGATGAAACGCGTATCCTTGCCCCCTTGTCATTCCCCACTCCATGCGTTCTTTCAGCACTCTCGCTAGCACGAAAGGAGAGGGAAAGCGCTTCAAGCATGCAACAAATCGCCATAACTCTGCTGGTACGTGGATGATTCTAAACAGTTTGGGCCGGTTTATTCGTTAGGCACTAGGCTACTTTAATGACGCCGTTCGACGACTACTTGTAAAAGTGTTGCTTGTCCGATAGACACCCGAACGTCTGTGAGCGACGTATCGGCACGGTTAGGCGAACATCCGTTGTATCGCTGAATTCACAAGGATACCAGTGAATGAAACGCCCGACGCTGAAGGTTATCCCGTAATAAGCACGCCTGTGGCCCGTTTGGCCACAACTATGAAGGTTATGGTGCACTAAAAGGGATTCATTTTGGGAAGTATGCATTGCGTTAGCACTCTTCCTGGAACAGGTCACGTGTTTAGTGGTTTGAGAGTCGAGCACACGGCATCAAAGAACTACAGTGCAGTAATGTACATTGAAAATGAAATGACTGAACGAACACCGCGAGCGACTGGTGGCGCCGCGCAAACACCAGATCATGACTCAAGAACAAGATAGACACCGCCGCGGAAATGCAGACAGGTACAGACTATGTCTGCTTTCTGAATGACTATGTCTGCACTATGCCAAAATGAGCGAACCTGCAGAAGCAACTGTAGTGATAGCGTAGTAGTAGGCACACCGTGTGTTCGTAACTACTCAAACTATGCAAATATGTTGTTTCAATTCGTGACACTGCTCAAAGTATACGGCATAAACAGATATTCACCGACTGTATAGCACGAAATCGATCGTCACGATAAGTGAGCTTACTACGGTGGTCTACTGGTTATGATGCCCGGCTGCTGGCCTGCAGGTCGCGGGATCGAATCACGGCGGCCGCATTTTCGACGAAGGCGAGAATGCTTCAGGCCCATGTATCTAAATTTAGGTGCACGTTAATAACCCCAGGTTGTCGAAATTTCTGAAGCCCTCGACGTCTTTCAAAATATATTTGGGACGTTAAACCTTAGCCATTATATATTCCACAATGCATGAGATCTGCCGCAATTTTCTATATTTATTATAGAATCAACAACACGTTTTGATGACACTGATACACGTTAGAACAAACGTTACAAAATGCCCTTGAGTTGCTTTACGTGCATTGAATACGAAAGCTCTGTGTGTGTTGCCTCTGTCGACATGCATGCCCCATGACCTCCTCACTTGGTCTGTGACCTTGTAACTACAGGTCCTTGCTCATGAGGTTATGCCACATGGCGCGATCCCTTAGTCATGAACTCAAGTGGGCCAAAGTAAATTTTGTAGGTGGGCCACGTCATCCCAATTTCGGGGGATGGACCGCAGAACTTTTTTTAAAAGTAAGCCTAACTCAGCTTTTTTTTTGGGGGGGAAGGGAGGCTGAACCGGGTTTGCTTTGACACTGAAAACTGATGCAATCATTTGTTGCCTGCTTGTCGCGCCCTTTTATCATCATCCCTCGGTTAGGTTGCTTTTGGTACTATCGGATGTCGACACCACATTTCCCGCTTCATGGAGATAGATAGATAAGTTTAACGTTGTAAAACCACCATATGATTATGAGATACACCGTTATAGTGGAGGGCTCCGGAAATTAGGATCACCTGTGGTACTTCAACATGCACCCAAATCTGAGTACGCGGGCCCACGGCATTTTTGCCCTCATCGAAAATGCAGCTGCCGCAGCCAGGATTCGATCCCGCGACCTGCGCGTCAAGAGCCGAGTACCTTGGCCATAAGACAACTGTGGTGGGGCTCCGCTTTATGGGGCACATGACTTTTTCGCATTGAAAACTTCGTAATTAAAACGACGGAAGTGTACGGATAAAGGTAGGCGCATTACATCAGCCATAATTTATTGACAAAGGCGTGCACGTACACAACTTTGTAACAGCGGTTTTCTTGTTTTAGTTCATGTTTTCCTGGATGCGGGGCGCCATCATCAGTTTTCAGCAATCACTCCGTCATTTCGGCTCAGCTCGTTAACTACTCTGAGTGCTGAGACATTTTCTTGCGTATTTGATATCTCGAGCACTGTGGCATATTTATATCTCGTGCGGCATCAATCATTTCTGATAAAATCATGTAGTCATCGAAAGCACGGCCTGTCATTACAAGTAACAGCGGGATAAGGGGAAGTTGGCGTCGTACACGCAAGCACACAAGAAAAGTATGATCTGAGAAAAACGTGATACTCTCAGATGTGAACGCATCTAAATTTGTTACTTGCGAGGCTATATGTATATTGCACTATCAAGCCTTGGCATGTGGTGATCAATTTAATTTCATTATCTGTTTGAAATCATAGCTTTTTGGCATATCGATCGATACAAAAAAATAAAAAAAAGTAATTCTCGTCACTGATGCAACATCTTGCAGTCGTGCACGGGCTCAGCTGCACATATTATTTCTTTTCATTTTTAATCTCGAAAGGTTGCCCTTGAAACTGTAAAACAAGGCATAGATACACATACCAATTTGCTTCGTGTGTAGACAGAGGAGCACTCATAACACCCTCACATGGTGTGTGTCCTCCCGAAATAAACAACGTGAATGCTCAAGCATGGAGTGTGCATTGCACGCCTGTGTGCATCAAGAACCACGACGGTACTGTAATTTTTCGCTACTTAACCTACGGTGAACCACCCATGCTGGAAGCGCCTATTTTCGTTTGCTATAAGAAATGTGGGAGATTGTACTAGATAAGTTTTTTTTTACGTAAAATCTGTTTATACACTGGGGATATACTATATACACAATAAAATGGCATACGATGTGAACGTTGCCGCGTCACAGCATATAGGCATAATGGTTCTGACGATTCTTTTACAAGCTAATTTCACTGAAATGAGTCTGTGCGAGGTCGGCATAAGCTGCTCTCTGTCAGCCCACATCACGCGATATCGCTTACCTGGATTTTGTCCTTAGTTCTCCAAGACAGGCCCAGCTTGTTGGCAAGCGTGGCGGCCACCACGGTGGTGCCGTTGTTGCCTCCCATGCCGACCAGCATGACGCCCAGCCGGGGCACGTTCCTCTTGGTGCGAAACGTCATGCGGACGTCGCGCGGTCGTACGCGGCACACGTTGCCCTCGACCATGGCCTCGGACATCGAGTACACGTAGTCAGCTTCAATCAGGTCCGCCGTGTAGCGCACCGTCGGGCTGTCAATCTCCACTTTCACCATCTCGGATGCACAATCTGCTCCGCCCGGACATACAAGCCCCGTGTTAATTAAAGTACTTGAGCCCACCAATCGCACACTGCCGCTTACTGCAGACTCGCTTAACGGGAAGAGGGCCCGGTGCCACAAAGATACGTGGACCTTCACTTCTTTTTAAATGGCATCGTGGTAAGGAGCACCGCTCCCGGTCTCAACGAGACTGCCCCACAATTAGTATTTCGGCAAGTGATTTCGAAAGATTCGAGCAAGCATGAAATGTCCAAGCTTTTCACGACTGACAGTTAACCACTCGCGACATCTGCCACACGTGTTGTAGAATAAACGGCCACTTTCCTGTTTGTTCAGCGCACTACCAAAAATGGCTGAGGCTTGTGCAAATCAGGAGGAAAATATTAATGCGTGTATACAGAAGCTGTTAACAAGCCGGTTAATCCACAGACATAGTATTCGAAGCTGGTGCAGATGTACCTTGTATGAGGCACATTGCAAGAGAATTTCATACCTGCTCCATACTGCGCTTTGTCTTTTGCAAGTGCGGTCTCTAGATGGCTGAGTTAAGATTCATTGCATGTTACATGCTGACACGAAGGCACCACATAGCAAGCAAAAGCAGTGATCGAGCATAACGTTCGATGTTACTTAGCGTGAAAGTAGTCTGCACATTCACGGAGCAAAACGTTCTTTTTAAAAGCCATATCACAACAAGTGGAATTCACAAAGGTTCTCGTGGCTAAACACATAATTTAGAGCTATTTGTGCTATCGTCTAAATGCTAATGCCAGTACAAGTTTAGAGATATTCAGTTGTGCCACAAAGAAAGCAAATCAGAATGGCTCCATGTAGGTTTTGTTTAAGAAGAATGGCCACCCTGTCAAGTTAAAGGAGTTTAACATAATTAAAGATTATTAGGTGATGTTTGACGTTAGAAGTGTCAGCTACGCAATGCTTGTTATAACGTCATTGGAGAACGTCTCCATACAGAAGTCTTTCATACGTAGCCATGCGCAGAGACTGATAGCGCCCAAAACAACTTCACTATAAGAGCGGCGATTCATCGAATGGCTCATATACGAATGATGTTAGTACCAAAAGTAGCGAAAATGCAAATCATGCGTATACATTTCGGTTCGGTATACTGGGTGCACGCATTTGGTAAAAGCATTGCCATGCAAGTTGTGTAATGGTGCTAGCCGCCACTGCGCAGACTCACAAAATACTGCCCTATATAAACCTGCCACTGTCAGACTGGCACATTAAGATTCTCGGACCACTGCAGTAATATTCGAAAACTAAAAAAAAAAAAGTTTCGCTACACGAATTGCAGAACAAAGTATCTCTGACGCGCGTTCTTCATATAACATCCGACGATATTCAAGCGAGCTGCTAAGACATTCCGCAGAAGAGTGTCCAGCTACAGCCAGAGCATCGAAAACAGAGAGTTTTAGGTTTTGCGCACCCAAATTTAGGGAGCGCAAACCGCCGGGTGTACAAAAAAAAAACGGTAATCAGTATAGTATCCAAACGAACATAAGGAAAGGGTGGGGCTGTCGGTGTACGAAAAGGGCTGTTCAGGTACCCAAAGTCGTTTTCGGCACGCAAAATCTAGAACTCTCTAATTGCGGAAATGCGGATATCGAGCGCAAGTTTCATTCCTATACCAGCATACGTCCCAGTACACAAAGTTAATAAAAGATTTTGCTTAGCCTCCCTAATGAAGACTTCTCGAGTCGCGCATACGCTGGGAGCGAATGTTAGGAGTGCAACTTGTGCTTGACAACGCGTCATCACTGCAGGATCGGTTCGGTAAAAATATCGCAAATAAATGAACCGTGTAATGATACTGCGACAGGGCTTCATGCGTTATGGTTGCTTGCTACGTAAAAAAAAAAACTACATTAACAGGAAGCTGTCTGAATAGATTCGCAACTTGCTCAAAGTTTTGACATACCACGTTGTCCACTTGAAATGATCCACTTGCGGTCGATGACTTGGATGGCACGCACCAGTGATGTTTAAGAGCGTTTTAAGTGTTGCATGAGTGTTATTGTAAGTTTTTTCTGTTTTACGTGACCATGTGGCTTTTTGACATGCGACCACATTACCTCATATGACCCATGTGGTCACCTAACACACGCCTCCCCTCTCCCTTTTTCTCCCCCTGCAAAAAAAAGTCTAGAAAAAGAAACGAATGCTATTTAAATTATCTTTTGTTCAGCATCGAGCTGACTCTATAGAGTTTTATCCATTTATAATTAAGCGTGCATGTGCATGTCAGTGTTGGTGTAGTAACTGCACTCGCGCATTTCTTAGCAGGAACAAGAGCTTGATTCGGGCGAGTTGTTCATTGTGGTTGTATTGTAGTAGATCTCCTTTCTGTCTATCTTGACCCTTCTTAGAGTTGTCGCACTGTCACTACAGTACAATCCTTAGCCAGATTTTTTTTCTCCGGACTCTTTGAAAGGCGATTGGCCATTCTATGGCATGATAATTGTGTTGGTGGGTAACATCTGCACGAAATTATGTCGAGGAGGCAATATGCATGTGCGGTGCTATTGCATTGTTTAACTACTCAAGTGATGGCGTGCGTTCCTAATTTAAACATTGGTTTTTACGCGTATAACAGTGTACGCTGTTAGTGTTGAAACAAATGAAAAAGTGGTAACATGATAATCATTAACAGGAATGTAACTTCCTACTATATAATTAGAGAAAAACAAAACCAAGCTTGTTTTCCAGTGATCTGTATTGGTGACGCTACCATTTTCGGCTTGTTTGGTGACACATTGTTTAGGTAACGCACACCAGCGATTGAAGCTGTTCATCACACAAGGGAACAAAATGCGCAGCAATCAATGCTGCAAGTTTTTCAACCAGTCGTTTTGTGATCGATAGTGACAGTTGGGTCTCACTTGCAATAATACAGGGCACATGGTTTCCGTGGGTGAATCAGCTTTATGTCAGGCAAACGGGTATGGCGGGAAGCAACACAGACCACTTACAGAATGAACTTTTTGTACTTCGTATTGCAACAAAGCGTCCCTTTTTGTTGCGTGAACAACCTACCATTTTGTTTTAAGTGTTCACGCAATTTTCAGGAGCCCAACAGCTGTAAATGGGCTGTGTTCGTCGAACAAAATGCACTCACTGAAGCATCGATTCATATTCAGAGCCTTTGATGTTACAGACCCATTTTTTCTCAGAGAGCAGCATCGAGCCGTTATTATTTACAAACTGAAACTTGAACCCCCTGTGACACACATTCGTACCAAATAGAACGTATGTGGAAATAAGATTAAAAAAAAAAGACATTGGCACTAAGTGATTCGACATTATGACCATGGACGACATTAATGCATGCACACTTCGCACAAAAGAGTATCCTGCAATAAACAGGTTACGCTTAAAATGATTAAAAGTTGTCAGTACGAAAATGTTTGCTTGCAACAACCCTATTCGGGAGCTTGAGGGAGGAGCGGGTGGGGAGGGGTACAGTCCATAGAGTGGCAGGGCACCTATTGCTCTTGAGCGAATGACTAGTTTTGAGCACATGTTTTTTTTGTCACCCCTAGGTGGTCGAAGCCACGATTGAACTTTAAAAGACACCATCCATTGTGTCTGTCATATCGTTTATTTATTTATTCATGCGTGTACAGCAAGCGCTGCAAGTAGTAAATGCATCGGTGATATAATCTTTTAACAGACTTTCATCACTCTACCACGGAAAAGAAAGCTTACCTAAGCTTGGCGATAACATCAACTGTCAAGGCGTCAAATTGCGAAGTTTGCATTGCCTTGTGCCTCAACACAGCAGAAAATGTTATGACATGACAGTGACCCATGGAAAAATACTTAGAAGAGCATCTCCTACCAAAAGAAACTGTGGCCACTCCTTTTGAGGGCGACAGTAATGAACTCTTCCCTTAAACAAGACATTTGTTAAGAATTTATAGCGTAACGCTGTCGGGTTATGGCCAATGTCTTTTTAATTAAATCTATCAAGCCTCAGTGCCAGTGCCATCAACTTCTATTCGTAGAAGGTGGAAATCCACCTTATTTTAAGTGAAATAAGCGTTTAGCAACTTTTATAGTCAAGTTGGCCATTCTAAGAATTGTAAATATGTTAAAACTAACCCGCATCTCACTGCGCCAGTAATTGAAGCTATCAGAGTTATTTTGAAAGAGACAACTTTCGCTAAGATGTGTTGTTCAGTGGCCACCTACTGATACCAGCATTTGCAGGGAAAGGAAAGGAGTACGAAGGCAGTTTGTCAGTCCTAAGATAAAGTATCACACAGAACAATCATCTAATTTTTCGTAACCTAATAAAATTTTTTATTATAAAAACACTGCACCCAATAAGGAGTTACTCAGACAGAGCCAGTCACGCACATGCGACGTGCGAAACACGTGTTTTGCACCATCAGTGCGAATAGCTTTGCTTCACCAGTAAATTTTCAATCATCTTTATGAATGAAGCAAATACGACAGAGTATTTTATCGTCAGGACACATATATTCGATGTAGAAAGCAGCTGCACTGAATGCCCGGTGAGCGCAACCTTCTATGTGTTTAGTCGAACGGCTACACATGGCGCGGCGTGAAAAAACCGCCGTTCGACTGTTAGATTTGAGGCATGGAATCAGTTCAACATGCTGCCTGTAGTTCTGTAGTTCCACATAACCTCACAGTTGTGTACATCTTGTTGCTGTTGCACAGGTTGAATAAAAACACGTGGAACTTGCATAAAGACGTCCACCTATCAACAAGATCGCGTCCATGAGGTTACTCAAAATCATTTAAAAAAGGAGTTAAAAGGTTCACAGCACAACATGCTTCAAACCTGGTACATTTGAAGCACGTAAAACAGAATAACAAGCACTAGAGTGTGCAATCCGATACATTGAAGATCCCCCCAAAATGACGCCGAGTGGCAACCCTTTTCAATGCTTTCGAATACTAATAAAGACTCAGAGGCGATACTTGTTGACTTATTTCAAGCATGAATGAAAACGCCAAAATTCAAGGGGGGGGGGGACAAAAAAATTTAGAAACGCTTTTAATCTATAGTTCAGGTTATACAACATACCAATAATGTGAGTACAATGGACGGGTTTGCCGAGAAGCACAATTTTAAAAAGAAAGCGTAGCTCGCATCCAACAGTGGATGGTAGCTCTTCGGGACACGATGTAGTGCACAGGAAGCGAGAATTTTATCACTAAGCACCATGCTGACTGATTAATGCGAGTTGCTTTCTTGGGTCACTTGTCGCGTTGTAATTGCGAATTGAACGACGGGGGCACTAAACACTGGCTAAGCGCTCGGGAGAAATAGGCACTTACAGAAATTATTACAACGCCATGTTAGAAAGATGTGAAAACCAGAAGTTGAAAGCTTGTCACGCATTTTGGCTGTTGCAGTGCTTTCTGTGAAAACTGACGTATAATTCAGTCATTCACCTGCAAAGACTTCATGAAGTTTGTGCTAAACTATGTCAGTTTGTTTCTTGAGGCTTGTACATGACCATGTTGAAGCAGCAAATGCCACGGTGAGACAAACCGTGGAGATATTAAACCGATCCCAGCTATTTGGCATACTCGCACTGTGATTTGAGATAGTGAAAAGTGACTCTGAGTGGGAACAAAACAATTGTTTGTTCAATACACAGGGTAAGAGCGAGTTCAACAGTCATCTCTGTATTCTAGAATCAAAGCGCTGCAACAACTAGTAAGGAAAGCATGAGAAATTTCTGATGGCGAAACAAGGTTGCATCTTCTGGATGAAGCTCGTACAAAAGGGACCACTAAGGGTAACTCCAGTGGCACTCAACACCATTTTCGACACAGCCGGAATTGAAGCGGTACGTGTATCCGCGTGTGCCTGAGGCTTTCAGGTCGACACCGACCAGTGCCTAAGCTAGTGGCGCCACCCGAAGCGGGCTGAAACAGAGAAGAGAACTTAAGCATCGCAGCTTTAAAGACGACAATTTGACAATCAAGGTTCAGGAGGCTCGAAGCGCTGCCCAGATTGGAAACGAGAGATATGTTTCAGTGATAAGTTGCAGATATTTTGCCAAAAGGGGCCTTTGTAGGCTGTTTACATACAGCGGTGCTCCAGAGCTGTGAGGCAGACCACAACCCAATGCCTAAAAGGCACGGTATAGATGATAGAGGATACGTCTTGTTAAGCCTAGCAAAAGAAAAGCTCCGGGAATAGTCTGCATGGTAACATGCGATCAGCTACCGACAGCTTTCAAGTTTAGATGCAGCATTTCCCATGTCCAATTCTGGAACACATCGTTTCGTTGCCTCCTTAAAAAAGTGTTTCGCTCCGGAGCGTAATACAGAACACGGTGCAGTGAATTATGCGCTCGGGACGACATGCACTGGGTATTTGGCTACACTTGGGTCATCCGGTGACCATGCATGCGACTCCATGCGGCTGCACTACAGTCCCCGGTAATGGTGCATTCAGACGACGGACCGAATCCGGATTTGTCGAGGACGCGGACGGCTAATCCTTTGCTGATCTGCCAACAGGCGTATCCACACGACGGACGGTGTCCTAGGAGAAAACAGCCGGATTACCCTCGACAGCAGATTTGGTGCTCACCTGCGCCGGCTGGCAGCAGACCGGTTAGAGAGTATTCAACATGGATGCCCGCAAGAAGTGACGCTTGGCTGCGATGTCTGTCGCGTTGTGACAAATAAACGAGGAGTGTTATTCTTTCAGGAAAAAGGAAGTTGCTGGCAGAATGTTCTTTCGACTACATTGCTCCCCCCTTGTAGAACTTCTGAATGCGTCTCCCATCCTTTTTTAGAAGCGGCACGTCGCCGGTTGCAAAAGTTAGAATATTTCACCACCATGAAGGCTAAGAATCTCGCGTGTCAAACGATGGCGGCGACATTTCCCGAAACACCAAACGTGATTACTGCGTATTTAATCCCCTGAGAACAAAGCCCCCGGAAACTAAGTAAACCATGCTCAAGCGTAGATGATGCCGACCAGTCATGCAGCTGTCCGCGGGCCATGGAGGACATGCCGCTAGCAGACGAAAAGTGTACTGGGTGCCAGAAATCCCGAGCTAATCCTCTGAAGTATCGGCTTTCTCCCGCCAAAATCCCGATGTGAGAAACAGGTTGGGGTCATCAGTCCGTGAGCCGGGTGGACGCGGGGAATCGCTGATGTGAGGTCACGTGATGCGCCGTCCATTCTGCCACATCCGGATTCGGTCCGTCGTCTGAATGCACCATAAAGATCACACCGTGTCCCACACGGGCGCAACACTGTGCCTGCAGGCCATGAATTGCCTTGGGAACGTTGCCAGAAAAAAAATTGTCATTTTCCGGGTTGCCAGCTCGCATAAGAAGGCTATGGTGGGTCTTACGGCTTCTTCGAACTTCTGTTGTGCCGGACAATGAGTCAATATAAAGAGGACACGTCAACTCAGAATCAAACCAAAGAGGCACTAAATCTGGTCATAAGAACCGCTGATGCACGAATTCTCAGCACGCTTGTATGTATCTTATGCAACGATGGTCAGTGAGCCTGAAGCTGTCTCTGCTAAAAAAGCTAAGCCGGATAAAGGAAGAGCGAGAGAGGCTCCTGCGGACTGCGAGAGATACCATGATGGCGGCCTCACTGCTCGTGTAGGCAGCCCTGGGATGTTGACATTTTGAAAGGCAAAAAGAATACCGGTATGAACCGCACTTATGCTGCGAGAATAACCTATCAAAGTGACCAGGTTGAAAAGGCTGCCAAAATCACTTACTAAAAAAAAAGACGCGTGCTCCAGAACACAGTACTGGCACAGAAATAGTAACCGCGCAGAGCTCGATGAAGGGGCGCACAGTAAAGAGACGGGCCTTCTCCGCGTCGTGTTTTGTTTAGATCTCGCATTTGCATGTGCAGTGTTTGTCCATCGGCTTGTTTATCACAGGTGCCGGGTTAGTCTATATGTAGAGAGAGAGCTGCGTGAACGAAATTTAAGTCTCAGTTTGCGAGGCAAAATGAGGTATCTACACCATTTGTACACACGCTATACTTTTTATATATATTTCGCTTAACTTTTCAGACTGCTGCTATTTCGGAAGTGCCAACTACCCTTTTGTAGAGTATAAATACACGAGACAATCTTTAATTACAACCAATACGAGAACTTCATCACAACATTGTTTTTAATGCTCCAATTCGCTTTTCTGGTGCACTTCGCTCAACAGAATCATGCAAAAAACATGCTGTTGCTTTAGTACCTAGTGATAGAAGAATGGCTCTGCACATAGCCGCAAATATAATGGAAGAAGGGCTAAGCTGCAACAATATAAAACAGAAAAACTAATGCCGCCTTGAATTCCACCACCTGGATTCTACAACAAGTTTGATTAATAACGATAATCGAGGCCGGCCCTTGAACATACTAACTGTGGCGCGCATTGGCTGTAGGCGTGAACGATCGATGTTAGCCGCTCATTTGCGAAACAGTGGAGCTTGGCTTGTACGGAAGCTGCGTTATGCCCTCCTTGTTTACCAAAAGATCACTTTGTAGAAAGAACAGAAAAATTTAAACAGTTCTAAACGTAGAAGCCACTCAGCAGTATTGCCGGCACAGAGTTGAGTGCGCGCGGACATGCATTTCTGGACAGGGTAATGGTCCGAAAGCAGCACCTACCCTGTGGTGGGCTCTTGAAAAGATTGGGGCAGCAGTAGCAGCAACAACAGCGGTGGCGACCAATGTACGACGACGACAGCCGAACGCTGCTGATGATCTCTCGGGACTGGAGAGTGCTCCGCCGGGGAGGCGAACAAGTGACGACCGGCAGGTAGCAACGTCGCGCTTTTATGCGCGTCTGCTTCCGGACTGACGGAAAATCGATCCTCACGTCGAATCCGCTCGCCGAGAGAGAAGCGCCTAGAAGTGGAATTTTCCTTCACCGGCTACTGCTCAGGCGCAGCCGGTGACTAGGCGTCTTGTTGCCATGGAAACCTGGTCACGTGGTCGCAGCGGGAAACGAAACAAGAAGCTGCGCGTCACGTGGGGCGAACATGACGACGCGCGCTGCACGAACGTAGCTGTAAGAGTACCGTGCCGCCCGCGTGCTGCCGGTGTGGCCATGTGGCTGCTAACCTTGGCACCGGTGGCGGTGCGCTCGACTGGCGCGACGGTCGCTGACCGGCGGGCCCCCCCTCCTGTCGCAGCTGCTTTTCCCCGCACACCAGAGCATGCGGAGAGGCATCCTTGCCGGGGGGCCAAACGGCTGCCTCCCAAAACAGAAATCCACTGTTACGAAGCAACGAAGTGAAATGAAGGCAATTTAATTAAATAATATAATAAGCATAAATAAATTCCCTTCCCCTGTACGCCATGTAAGGTACCCGATTAGAAGATTTTATGGTTAACCTTCCTGCCTTTCTGTTTACTTCCTTCAAAACTGTGAGTGCATCTTTGGAAGCCGGCTAGTTGCTAATGGGATTAAGGAGCACCCAATACCAAAGACGAGGTCAAAACGCACAAGGGTGACCCTGTTGACTTCGTATTTGTTGCACTGTAAATTTCGCAATTTATTATGCACCAATGAGATCAGTAACTAGTTTTATTCGACTATCCGGCTCATAATGGATTACTGCTGAATATGACCGTCTTATTCAAGCAGTACTTACGATACTTTGTAAAGAATGATAGCTGTTGTGCTAAGTTAACTCAGTGTTCCTGCATACGTTAATTTTATATAAAGTACTTACCATAGATATCCAGGGCATTATCACACCCCCAATGATATTTGGAATACATGTCTTTGTGATATTGCAACATCAGCTACCAGCTTATGGGTGAGGATAGTGTAAGCTATCTATTTCTCACCCCCTCCCCCTTTTTTGTGAGTGTTTCAATGAAGCCAGTCAAATTATAACGTTTAGCTACCTTAAATGTCTACGCCGGGTCAATGGACAGGATAGACAACGTGGCAGTTTTATTATTGTTGTGTGTCATTATTGTGTATCTTTTTGCCAATTCTGGCTACTTCATCAGAATTAGCAGGTTACGCAGCTCATCATGCACATTTCCTATTGCGAAGTATGCGTTTGAACTGTCAACATGTTGTTGTATTTATATTTATTTTGTTTCAACTCATGAGGGCCACAAAGCAGCAGCAAATAATCGCGCCCCGCCCGGTTTGCTTGTGTGCAAAAATATTGAGTGGAGTGAAGCCGAAAGACACAGGCCAGAGCAGGAGAGTGCGTTGTACGAAACAAAATAAAAGCAAAACGTGTTTACATACATGCTGCACCTTCACAAGTTAACTGATCACTCTCTGTACAAAATGCGAATGGCAAAATCGCACTTACGTGAACGTATACTGAATTCAATACTAAATTTTATGTCAAAATGACGACCACACTGAAATACAACGAAACATATAGAGAGGATGTATTTCTTCGTGTTTCGGTGTGGCCGTGATTTTAGCGTGAAGTTGACTATTGAATTCAGACGCGCACCATTTGTCCCAACAGTGAGTACTGCTAAAGTATACTGTTCGTATAAGTGCAGAATGCTAGTTTTACGTTACGCTTTACGAAATCTGAAAATACACAGGGCATCTAGCGGCTTTTTCAAGGACTTCAGGTTTTTGCGCAGCAAATTCGTAAATGAATACCTTTGTTTTGTGAGTGCCGTATTTGTGCGAATAATAAATCATTTTCAGAGGTGGTAAATAACCTGAATTTCGATATAAGATGACATTTCTGCTCATAATTAAACGATATTGTCACGTTGATATTATTGTTTCACGCCTATTTAGGGCAATGTAAAACGACAACAGATATAGGGGTATTATGGAGAAAATCTGGCAGAAAGAGAAATATAACACACACACACACACACACACACACACACACACACACACACACACACACACACACACACACACACACACACACACACACACACACACACACACACACACACACACACACACACACACACACACACACACACACACACACACACACACACACACACACACACACACACACACACACACACACACACACACACGCACGCACGCACGCACGCACACACACACACCTATAAAACTCATAATTCTAAACTATATTGGAAATAGTTTGTAAGCTTAATTTAGCAAACAGCTTTCGTTTAACGAGTGATAGGGACGAATTGCAACATATGAATGTAACTGTAACAATAAAGTGCTGCTCCCTTCGTTTTCGATGGACGAAGCTTGTTTGCCGTATCAATACGCTTATTGCGGCTAGTTGGCGAGACATTAGCATACAGTGAGTGATACAGGGCGAGTATGCGGGAAGTTCAGCTATCAACAACGCTATTAATTATATGACGTCGTTTGCCAGGCATGTAAGAGTTATATAAAAGGAACTTTTAAAACTACGCATCTCGTAGTCAGAAAGAATAACGACACACCGAAGAGACACCAGACTTTCCGGCCATGGTGGGAAGTTCACTATGAACAACGCTGTTCTTTATATAACGTATTTTGCCAGGCATCTAAGAGTTACATAAAATGCACTTTTGAAACCACACTTCTCGAGTAGTAAGAAAAAAGAACAACTGCGCATCGAATAGACGCCATATTTTCCGGCCGTTTAGCCCACTTAATCGTTTATATAGAATATTTCATTCGCGCTGTCGCAGCGGTGTGTTGCTATACGTGTAGCGTAGATGGGGTTTCGCCTCGAGAGGAGGGCTTACGCGACAGTCTACGTGATTTCTGTTCGCGCGTTCCTCTTCATCTTAGTCGCCCTTGGGAATGCTACGAGTTAGGGGAGTACAGAGGACAACTGTTTTCTGCTTCTCACCGGGGAGTGCGCCATCAGGACGACTAAGGTGACTTCAGACAAAACAAGGGGGAAACTCGAGAGCCACAACCGGGCAGCATCCGCAGTGCCCAATGCTGAATGCTTCTGAGCGACGTAGCAGCGTGACGGAAGCCACGCTCACCTCCCCTTTCCCCTATCCTACTCGGCGGCCCTCTCTGTCACTATGGTTCTGGAAAAATCTTGAAGCAGCCCGGACGATGAGAGAGACTCGTAGAGAGAAAGGGCATTGGCGCGGTGTCGGCGGACTGCGCTCCAGCAGGACCGGAAAGTAACCGAACAGTCGTGCCGAGCTGCGAGACTCCGTTCGGCCGCGAGTTCGCGTCAACACAGTGCACTCGGTGGAAGTAAACGCGCAGATATTATGAAATTACGGTAGCTCGTCCAGCTGACTGCATTGGTCCTCCTCGCGAAAAAGGTAGCGTGCCATGCTGAAATCAGGTGGCTCCGTTCTTTTCGGAAGGCCGCTCAGTCGGATTGGCCAATCACGCGCCTACTAGTGCGCCGTACCGCCATCCACCCACCTGGCGGCAGGAGCGCCGAATAATAATGCCTCGAAAGTGGGCATCAATAACTCTGGAGCACGAAGAGAAGACGCCGGCAATGCAAGAAAGATCACATGCTCTCACATATTCAGCAATGACACCTGCAATGACAATCAAACCTCTTGCGTGCTTGTGTGCATGCATTGGCTCATTGCCAATGCACAACGTAACAAGTTCAGTTTGTGTGTCTCTTTTTAATACAAGACCACATTTATTCGTAGGAGAACAAAATGAATCACACGCGAGACACGCAGGTCATGTTTTACTCAAGCCTTCAGCTTTATATTCTGAAATATTTTTCATTTGTATGACAGACCATCCACATCATGGCCGAATCCCCGTGGTGGGTTGCGCCAAGATTCTGAGGAACAACCAACCAGGCAACCATTTTGATCCGCGCGTTAGCAAAGAGCACAACAAAAGGAAGTGAGTCTTCTTCACCTGTTGTCATGTTCAAATCCTAATGAATTCATCTTACAATTATATAATCAGTCATCGCATGTGATAAATGCCTTCTCTCTGACAGCAGGAGTAGTATAAACAGTGGTGCAGTTATGCAGACATGCACCACCTGTCTAACAAAACTTAAGTAAAAAGAATAAAAGAAAAGGAGGCATGCAAAACATTTTTTCCCTATAAATCAGATAGGAAGCCTGGGAAAAAAGTGAGTACATCAAGAATCATGCCCTGCCGCAACCTAGGTTTTATACATAAACGGCGCGTATAAATGTGCAGTTATGCTTATTATACGTGTTTACAGAACACAGACTGGCTGGAGCGAGCATCTCACCAAAAGAGATGCTTATTTTTCTTCTATTTTTAGGGCGAAGCTCTTTAGGCTCGAGCCGTCTACCACCGTCCCTCGACGACGATGTCGATGATGACGATGAAGAACAATCGTGATCCAGACGACACATTCTTTTTCTGCCATCACGTCACAGTATATACAAGGTATCCACTATACGCCATGACGTTGACGATGATGCTGATGAAGGTGAAGATGAAGACGATGGTGATCATGGACAACGACTGGCTTGTGCAGTAAATGCAGTCTCGATATGCTCTATGATGAGTTTTGTATAAATAGAAGCAATCATCAGGGGAACGTACACAAACCTCGTCTTGGCCAGCATCCGGCTAAATCCGATACCAAAAAGCAGTGATAATGATGTTAAAACGAAATTCACAACTGAAAACAATACAATATTTATGACCAATAAACATTGCATATACCTGTACACCGCTTTGTCACTCATTTCCATGCATGGGTGGTCAATGAAACAGGTGATATACCGTAACACCAAACGGTCTCTTTGCTTCGATCACTCATCATCATTCACTTCGTGGATATGCCCTGTTTTTTTTTGCATGTATGTACCTTCGTACACTTAGACCAGCGTGCTTTGTACCAGCACTTTAGCCCCTGTGTCAAGGTCAGGAGTTTAGC